CTTTTAAATTTTTAAAAAATTGGACATATTCCGCAAGTTGAATCAAAAGGCAGCCAGTTAATTTTTATAAATTAATGTTCACTGTATTTAAATATTTTATTTTTGGTGGATACTTCTATTAAACGTGTATATGAACGAACTTGTAAGTTATGCTTAAAATAATTTCATTTATACCAAGATAATCTGATTTTTTGTGTGGAGTTTGTAAGCTTTCAATTGAGTTTTTTCCTCCTAATCTTAGATGTTTAGTGTCTAAAATTTTAAAGTATTTTTTCAATCGATAATGTAAAGATGTGCTTCATTAATTGATGTCAATAAATAAGTATTATGAAAGCAAGCTTATAATTTTATTAAACATTTACACGCGTCTTGTTACATGGCTGTTGTGTTACACTGCTCTCAAAAAGCCAAATCGAGATGAGAATTGTTCCAATTGTTGAAATCTTAAGTAAAGCAATAAATGTAAGCTGAAAAAATAATGATCCATCTGTAATAATGTAAAAAAATTGTGAATAAATATGAGATGGAAAGTAAGCAAACATTTTGTCATCAAATGGTATATCTGACACAAACGATATGATTGCCAGTATGCACTCACAAATGCCAATGAGATATACTTTAGTTAAATAAACTGTTTTTTTTTTAAATACAAGAAGTCAATTCTTAAAAGATAGCCTTAGATACTGAAATAAAAAATGCTACATTTGGAGATAAGTCGACGACACGAGCAGAAGCTCATATGGATCTCCCCCCCCCCGACCCGGGAACCCCATTTCGCGGGAGTCTCTCTAATTGGACCGAGGAAAGATGCCGTGAGGTAGGAATCCCCTGAAGGTTTCGCCAAAACGGCAAACCATTAAATACAAAAAGTCAATACTTAAAAGAAAGCCTTAGAAACTAAAATAAAAAATGCTACATTTGGAGATAAGTCGACGACACGAGCAGAAGCTAATATGGATCTCCCCCCCCCCCGACCCGGGAACCCCATTTCGCGGGATTCTCTCTAATTGGACCGAGGAAAGATGCCGTGAGGTAGATATCCCCTGAATGTTTCGCCAAAACGGCAAACCACTCGGCTACCCATGGAACGCCAAAGAGGGAGCTACCAAGAATTGGTCTTTAAAAGTAAAGGGTGGGTTCCTACTGCTGTCCATTATGACCTACCCCGCCATCACTGTGGAAAAACATGATCCTATCGTTTCGTCCCCGTCACTAGCTTAGTACTTGTCATGCGGAGTGTATGTAGGAGTCAGGAGTGCCCAGTACCACTTTGCGATAAAAACTGCCAAGATCTGAGTGGTCGGTAGCCCTAAGGAATCCTCCTCGCAATTTATCAGTGAAGTTCCCCCTTTTGCACATATTTAAAAACAATAGATTCTAAAATAAATAAGTCAATTCTTAAATGATGGCCTTAGATACTAAAATAAATAAGTCAATTCTTAAATGATGGCCTTAGATACTAAAATAAATAAGTCAATTCTTAAATGATTGCTTTAGAGTCCGAAATAATCACTACTTTTTTTCATCTTCCCACTTAGAATAAATGAAACACACTTCGATCCTAAGGATTCCAAAAAGTCAAATTGTAAGGACCCCCCCCCCCCTCAAGTTCTAATTAATAATATCTTTTTGACTGTATATGTGATTAATGTCATGCGGGTAAGTAATGTTTAATGTTTTGTCGCCATCATAACTTAATATGTGACATGCGATTTTTTCCATTGAAACTTTGCTGTTCTTTATCGTACTATATTTAATTTTTACTTGTTCTCTTTGAAAACAAAATAAGAACAACAAGATACTGAATGTAATAAATATATTTATTTGATCATGTGTACTAAAATGTTTGTCAGTATTAAGTAACGAGAGGTTTTGATTTACTTTAAAAACAATTATTCGGTAAATGGAAACACGCCGGAAACAGATACTTTAAAGGGAAGCATTATGGAATATTGAACAATTTATTTAGACACCGATTTTTAAGTTTAAGTTTCATTTTAAATCAGATGTCTTGCCTGAAACCTCTTGTCTAATGAAAAAAGGTATTGAACCGGTTTTTGTAATTAATCGTATTAAGTTATTATCCAGTTATCTCCCCTTAGAACATCCTAATGTTTGAGGCGCAAACAATTTAAATACATCTAAATAATGCCGTAAAATTATGCTTTTTTGCCTTATTTTTTTACAAGTACAATTCGTTCAATGGTCTTTGAGAAAATACAACAAGAATTTGTTTGAGTACTAAGAAGTAAATAATAATAAATTGATTTTTTAAAAAAGAAAAATTTTAAGAGAATAGAAAACATTAGATAAACATTTTACAAAACACCCTATTCTATTTAAAATTCACTTACGACGCTAACATAAAATTATGTCCACCAATCCCACATTACTATTAAAAATTAAAACTAAACATTTTTCAACACAACTTTTGTGTTTTTTCAAGTCTTATATTCACACACAGTCAACTTTTTTCTTTAAAATTGTGTTTTATTTAAATTTATAAAACAATGAGAGCAAAATGACATAAGTGAAAGAGCTTGAATCTTTACTTGGTATTTCGATCCACTGTTGTCATACCATAAGTTGCATCACGTTTTCCTTACAGGTGGTGTGTCACGTTTTCATTACATGTGATGTGTCACGTTTTCATTACATCTGGTGTGTCACATTTTCATTACAGGTGGTGTGTCACATTTTCATTACATGTGGTGTATCACGTTTTCATTACAAGTGGTGTGTCACGTTTTCATTATATGGGGTGTGTCAAGTTTCCATTATATGTGGTTTGTTATGTTTTCCTTACTTGTGGTGTGTCAAGTTTTCGTTACATGTGGTGTGTCTCGTTTTCCTTACTCGTGGTGTGTCAAGTTTTCATTACATGTGGTGTGTCACGTTTTCATTACACGTGATGTGTCATTTTTTCATTAGAACTGGTGTGCCATGTTTTAATTACACGAGATGTGTCACTTATTCACAACAAATGGCGTGTCACGTATTCATTACACGTGGTGCGTCATGTTTTCATTTTATGAAGTGTGTCATGAAGTTTTCATTATATGAAGTGTGTCACTCTTTCCAACTATGAGATGTGTCACGGTCTGCAAAATCATTCGTAACACCGTTTTCATGTTTTTATGTGTGTAGTGTTTTAAAACGATGACGTCTATCACGTGTTCAGATTATGAAATGTGTCATGTTTTCATACTAAAAGATGCGTCACAATTTTAAATAACTACCGTATTTATTGGCGTATAATACGCACTTTTTCTCCCTGAAAATAGGGGGGCAAATGATGTGTGCGTGTTATACTCCGATATAATGTTTAGTTTTTTTTCCTGAAATTTCCTTCTTAAATTGAGCTGCATGTTATACGCGGGGGCGTATTATACGCCAATAAATACGGTATTTGTGACAGTTGTTTCATGACACTATGTGTGTCACGTTTTCATAGTATGAGGTGCCCCAATTGTAACTTGTTTTGGATGATACGCCACGTGCCTAGTTATATATAAAGAGATTGTCCTTTGAGTTTTTAGAAATAGCTATGGTTATACAACGTCATGGGACCCATCTTGCCATAGAAGAAAGTGTAGACCAGCAACACACAGATAAGAAACTACGGTTGAAAGCTTGAGAAAAAAAAAACGGTAGCAAATACCATTTGCCGGAAAGAACAACGCGGAACAGACATATATGGGGAATAGTTTGCACCTCAAGGGTAAACGTAACAGACAAAAAAATAAAAAAAAAATATAAAAAAAACTGGGGCTCCGATCATTTCAAATGTAATAATGGAAATATTGATTTTGATTTTCTGGATATTTCTCAATTCATTGAAAGGCGTAAACCTTTCCAGTTCACTGAAGGCTGAACTGTGGCGGTGTGAAGGCTGCGCGTTGTGACAGGTCTGATCTTGTTATTGTTGGTGACCGTCTCAAGTCTGTCAGGTCGTACAGCGCATACTCTTGACTCAGGAAAGCGGGGAGAAGAAAGCCATGGCCTGCAATGCCGGGTCAAGGACGACAGCAAGAAATTAGCGGAAATATCCGAGTGGGCGTGAATGGCCCGGCTTTGACGAGTCTCCATTTAAGAATTGATCCGGTGTTGATACATTCTAGTGGCCTTATTACGTCATTCATCCATTGGATACTTAAAAGTTTATCTCTTAAAAGCATTTTTTTTAAAAAACTTATTTTAGCAATATTATGTCAGACATTATTGTACAATAGAGTTTGCTGACTTCTATCTTTATATAGTGAACTGGTCTGTATCTTTATATAGTCTGCTGGTCGGTATATTTACATAGTCTTCTGGTCACTATCTTCATATAGGTTTGTGTTCTCTAACTGTTCGCTGCCGAATTGACCGTAATAAACGCATTTTATACACACAAAATGAATTCTAGTTGATTATTTCATACAATTAATAATAAAATACGAAAAATATCAGAGGTCAAGAAATTTAGAATATCTTAATAGAAAGATGAACGCTATATCTTGAAGAAATATTGTACATTTGTCATTTTACATTTCGTGGTTGTCCGAGGACCCACCATAGGGGGAAATTCTGAATAAAGTGAATTTTTTTCCATAATCGGTTCGACATACTCGACAAAACATAAGAACTGGTTTATGTCGTGTCAACCGTTTTTAAAATGACCACTACTTAAGAAGTGGCCGAGCTGGGGTGTTGGTGTAAAGAGGGTTGTTGTCCCCACGAACCCACCCCCCTCTACATAATACAATATATAAATGTGATAGCCTTTGCTCCACGTGACGGAAATAATCCCCCCCCCCCCATTTTCTCGAAAACTGTCTATTCCCGTTAACGTCTGAACATTCTTTAGACAGGCAAAGCATTCGTTCATTGGGGTGTTGGTGTAAAGAGGGTTGTTGTCCCCACGAACCCCCCCCCCTCTACATAATACAATATATAAATGTGATAGCCTTTGCTCCACGTGACGGAAATAATCCCCCCCCCCCATTTTCTCGAAAACTGTCTATTCCCGTTAACGTCTGAACATTCTTTAGACAGGCAAAGCATTCGTTCAGAATGTAGGAAAGAGCGGGCCGCATTGAATCAACGATCTCCCAACATAAAACGTACTATACTTTGTTTTGACAGAAATTTCGGGTTTGAACTTCTACTCTCAAGTCTCGAAGTGCATGTTTTGGGTATCATAGTTTCTCTATAACAGGTGGGTTTTTTTACTTTCACATTTAAAGCCTCAATCGACTGTTAAGTTATGAGATTACCAACCGTTTTTTTAAATACTAAATATGCTGTTTGATCCTAAAATTATTGAGGGATTTGACCTATGATTATCTGTTCGGACTTCATGTTAAATTCATGATTCTTTATACTTAAGTTAATATCAATTTACATTCCAGCAGACAAGCACAATAATTCAGTCTTGTGAGAAGTTGAAGATGAATGCATACACAATGAAGGTATGTGGACTATGTTGAATTTAATGTTAATCTAATCTGGTTATCTTTCATCAATTTGATGAAACGTGATGTTTTGTGATGCCTTTGGTTTGTTGAGGTTGTTTATTTTAAATATAAGTTTGTACTTGTCATACTGAGTTAAGTAAATTTATTGAATAATAAAATTGATGCAAAAATGTTTTCATCAACTTCGAACTAAAATTCGTTTAACTCAGGGGCGTGTCAAGCGGATAGGCGGAAAAAAAGAGGGGGTGTTGGCGTGTCTGGGGCGAAGATGCCAACCCGAGCGCAATTATTATTGGTGTGACAAAACGGTCACATAAATATGAGTGAGTGTGAATTGTGCACTTTTTAGTTAGGATACTGGGCTATCAATTTTCAGGCTTTGCACCGAGAGCGAGTTTTTTCTTTTTCATAACACTGGGTTTGCAAATTAAATTGTGCTATTTGTGAAATCAGTTTCTGTTATAAGTTTGAATAGCTAAAATATAAAAAATTATTTAAACATTTGCTACCATTTACTATCTACCTTTTTTCCTCTTAAATAATTGTCTTAACCCATTAAAGTAATCTCTTGAATCATATGCTTTATTTGTCTTAGTTGTATAATCTTATATTATTGAATATATTCTAAAAAAAAATTATCTGTATGTTATGTAGAAGACGTGTTTACGTCATGTTCCCCGTGCTGTGAACTCTGTTTGACCCTTAGCCTCATGCTGCATTCTTATTGGGCGTGGCCTATTCCCTTTCATCTTGGCGTGTTTACTACCGCTACCAATTAAACATAACTAATCTGTTCTTGTAAGATTTTGTGGAAAGTTCTCGATTAGACTAGAAAGGTAAACATGTCTAAGTCGTTTCTGGAATGCGTCTTACGCTGCATATAGAAGGGTCCTAGAGAACATTAAGGGGGAGGAGATTTAGGATAGATATTTTTCCACTTCACGAGACAAGTGTATTATTCTGTGTGTACCCATATGTGTTTATTCGCATTCATCATTGTACATTATTAATTGACACATTGTACTAACTGTATACCGGTACAAGACATCCGATACTCTGTAAGTTAATGATTGTAATTAAATTTCTTTTTTTTTTTTGTAATTATATTAATACTTAGATAAATCTTATTAATTGCAATTAGTACTGTTTTGAGTGTCGTATTTTTGCTATTGTATTTCTCTATGGTATCGTCATCTGTTAGGTACTGTTTAGAACGAGACATAAACTTAAAATAAGAGATTAATTTCTCACGATAGAAGGCAGTGCGTAACACTGCACTATGCTTAAAATAAATAGCTAAAAGGAAAAATCTTTCATGAATCTGTACAGGACAGGTTATACATGAGTCAGATCATGCTTGATATTATACACATCAGGTCACGCATCATTCAGTACAGTTCAGGTCATGACATAAGTCTGTACATGTCACGTCATTGGATAAGTCTGTACAAATCAGGTCACGCATCACTCTGTACAGTTCAGGTCATGACATGTCTGTACATATCAGGTCATTGTATAAGTCTGTACATATCAGGTCATGAATCAGTCTGTACAGTTCAGGTCATGACATAAGTCTGTACACATCACGTCATTGTATAAGTCTGTACATATCAGGTCATTGTTTAAGTTTGTACAAATCAGGTCACACATCAGTCTGTACAGTTCAGGTCATGGTATAAGCTTGTACATATCAGGTCATGGCATAAGACTGTGCAGAGCAGGTCATGCATGAGTCTGTACATGTTGCGCTTGCTTTGATCAAACTTGGGGTATACGTAACGTGTGCAAGGTTCTGAAAGTAGACCAAATTTCGAGACATATCACAATTCAAAACATGTACTTCAACATTACGCGAGGGAGTGCTTCCATTTTCTTTACCACTAATCGTTTAGAAGGAAGTATTGGGGGGGGGGGAGTGTTGATATTCTATATTTAACTTTTTAAAAGTCAAGCCATATTTTGGTTAAAAAAAAATATTTGGTGGAAGAGTATTTTATAAATGTATACACATAAAGATAATCACATTATTGTAATATAGACACAAATTATTCATTGTAACTTTGAATAGCGCTCCGATCGTAGCCTAGTTAGCTTCACCCTTTAACCTTGACATGTGCCCCATTTTTAAATTAGAACAGTTCAAAATTTAATTTAACCTTGACAAGAGCATCACTTCAACCTAGACCACTGGCCCATGTTAACTTACAGAGGTGCATCATTTAAACCTAGACAAGGGCGTAACTTTAACCAATCCCTTCTGCCAAGCTTTGATCATCCCTTTGTCAACGGTGAACTTTAACTCAGTCGTCCGTTGTAAGTTTTAGTTGTATTCTTATGTGGAAAAAAATGAGCTTAGATGGAAGTGAAATAACAAGAAACATGAGATGAGGCATTTATGTTCTCTCTACCTAGTGAAGCCAAGCTCTCAGTGTTCCGGTGGTGCTGTTCACTATCGTATCGAAAGGAGCAGCATGCTTCCGTCCAGTCATGACCAATCAATAATGCTCTGCGGAACGAACTTTCGCAAGGCGTTTGTTAGAGCCATTCATCTTGTTGTGAGCATGTAGTAAAAATTGCAATTAAGGAATAAACTGTAGTCAAAGTGGCCGTTGATGGAAGCATCGTTTAATTTTATGAATATTTATGGTAGCTGAATAGGACCATCAACAGATAACAATCCATATAGTACGTGCGTACTTGGGGGGGGGGGGGGAGGTGTCGATTTTGCATACACGGGCGTATAGTCTGGGGAGGGGGGAGGTTGTCTTTTCAGAAAGTACTTATAATTTTATGAATATTTATGGTAGCTGAATAGGACCATCAACAGATAACAATCCATATAGTACGTGCGTACTTGGGGGGGGGGGGAGAGGTGTCGATTTTGCATACACGTGCGTATAGTCTGGTGAGGGGGGACGTTGTCTTTTCAGAAAGTACTTACATCCCATAAACTATTCTAAAAATATGATTCTGAATCTCCGACAGTAGAAAAAGCATAATCATATTTAAAAAAACAGTGAAAAACATATATGTAAAAACAGTTAAAAATATTTAAAAAGTATTAAAATATTTATTAATTTAAAAAAAAAATTACTTAAGCAATTTTTTGGGTGAGAGCGAGTGGGTTGAATGGAAAGTGTCTTGTGCATATGCAAGAAAAGGAAAAGGGTCCAAAAAAGTGGGAACAGGTGGGTGGGGAGTAAGAAATTTGACTTCTTTTCCGGGAACGTACTGTACAGAATACCACCAGTGAGATCCAATAATAACCAACAGCAGGTCCGATAAGGTTAAAGAGCATCTAGCAGTTGCTGTGAAGTTTACGCGATAACATGACATTTATCAAACCTACCAAGACGAGTGTTGCATTATTCTGAGATGACATGAGCAGAAATATGTAAATAGAGCCCGAGGTCAAAGTTATAATTGATATAATCAGAGTTACAGCAACGCATCTGTTGATACCAGTAATTCATTGTATTCTGTACTTGTCTCAAAGGTCCAAGCCGTGAAAGGAATCCAGGAAGAGGTATTAAAGATCGGAACGATCTTGACATCTTCAGTGGGGCTGGAAACTATTAAAAGTTTTACTGAACATGTAAGTAAAGTGCTCTGCTTTCTTTGTAAAGAACGGAACTTAAAATGAATGTGCAAGATATTATAAGGGGTGATTACTGTCGTTAAACTTGTTTCACTTTAAATGCACACACTTGTCCGATGAATTCTGTGTTGGCAGCTCATAAAAATGGTAGTCACTAAAATCAGGATCAAGTTGACACAATTACAGTTGTTATTTTTCACGTTCATGCTTCCGCATTTAGTTTTTAGTGCAGAAATATGTTTGCCACACTGTTTAGCAAAACTTGGCATTTTCTGACAGTAGTTGGGTTTAGAAGCCTCTGTAGGTCTCAACGGTACGTTGCTGATCGAACTGATCTAGCGAGACACAAAATACTAAGCAGCATGTTTCGTTGATTTTCTAATTATCCGGCAGTTTCACCCACACCACCTTGAAAAAAAAATACAAAGTTAAAATTAAAAAAAAAAAATAATTAATCTACAAAGTTTAAAAAAAAATTAAAATTCTACAAAGTTATAATAAATAAATTATAAATAATTATAACACGAAAACTTCCGTTCGTGATTGACAATTACATTTAATCCGTCTAGTCCATATGGCCGTTGATTCACAAAATAATAAAATATCGCCTAAAAACAGACATTAGGGCGAAATGAAAAAAAATAAAAATTAATATTGTTCTTTTAAGCAACAATCCTTAAAAAAATATTCTTAAATATTCCCACATAAATATTTCTCCATATAACGATGCGACTAACGCTTATATATAGTTCTTATTTGACTAAATAGAATTCACAATAACGACGCTAAATGAGATTCTTGTAAAAACACACCAATGCGTTTGTTGAGTAATATTTTCTTTTGTTTTAAGGAAATAGTAGGTGTAATAAATGTGCCATGTAAAAGGGAGTGTGACATTAGAGTCATAATATAATTCAGGGGCGACGTTGTAGCGGGAAGGGAGGAGACTAGAACATAATAAGAATTTTTATAAAGTGGAATGCATGTTCTGTTGCCTAGAAAACGACCGAAAGTGATTTTCTGATTTGTCAACTTTTGGCGTAGAAACCGAAGCCGAAGTCGAAATTTGGTCAGGCTGTACTATCAAGTAACTTCGTTTAACGGGAATTTTACCCACTGCAGCCGCCATTTTAATTGTTTGGCGGGGTAAAGCTGGTAAGAAATCGTTCCAAAAGAACACATGCACGTGCATACATCTTCTTTATCATTTTCCATCAAGAAAAAATCACCATTTCGATTACGAAATTCAGAAAAACATGTTTATTTATAATTTTAGCTGGTGATCTGGCTGTGTGGACAAGTTCCAGACGAACATACTGAAAAAAATATGAATGTATGTTTTCACGAGCTGCTCCGCTTAGTCGCTGACAATAGTAAGTGGAATCTTTCTGTAGTTTTTTTTAACGAGTATTTACATTATAAATGTCCTATATATTTAATAAAATATTTGAATAAATAATTTATGTAAAAAAAAATCCCATAAATAACTATTTAATTAAAAAAAAATATTTGATTTGTTTTTATTTGTATATATAGTCTATGATTTTGTATCAATGTGTGTTGTATTTCAGGAATATTAAGAACACATCTTTCTAATATAATTTCAGACGTTACACTCCATAGCAAATTTAAAGACAACGTTTTTTTAAAAAAAAAGGTTTCTGAATTTAATGAAATAGAAACCATTCCCGCTCAAGGTAGGGAACAAATGAAACACCTGGCTTGTATTGAAATGGGACAGGTATGTAAACCAATAAACTAACACACATTTTTCAAAATAAAATTAACAGTATTTATTCTTTAAATTTATTATTCTTGACTTTTATTGACCCTTTCCCCTTCGATTCTAGTCGATATGACTGCATTCGCATGCTGATTAAGAGACACTGCCACCGACCCACTGGCGATACCCTGTTGCCACAGCACCACCCTAGTAAGGCACGTTCGCGTGAAGACACGTGTTTTGAGATGTATTCGAGTTAGAAAGTGCAAGGCTGTATGGTTCCAACCACATAAACAGTTTGAAATAACGAAAGACAGGGGGTCACGATCGTGATACCCAGCTGCCGTTAATGAATCTGAGGTTTTGTGGAAATAGTGGCACCTATGTCGATGAATCTTTAATACGGCATGTGAGAGGGACTGGTTCCTAGGCAACCGTTTCGTCCCGGTTGTCGTGAACTATTCACTGGGTAGAAACAATTGTAAAGACCCCATTAGAGGGCGTATGAAACCACCTTGCGATCGGAAGGGGTGTATATTTAGGACGTTATTCATAACATAATTAGGAAGGGGGCTGTCTCAGTGGCTTGCGGCGTTCTATTACGCTATTCAGTTTGGAGGAGTAAACAAAAAGGGGGGGGGGGCGGGGGTCGGGCGGAGAAATTCGCCTAGAATGGTATAATGATCTTCCGTTTAACGGCTTTCTGTCATCTTTGGTAGTTTCAATTTTAAGCATTGTCAAATACTACACCAAATTATTAAAAAGAATCGAGTTAAATTTAAACAGCCATTAGCGAAGTCAGACCACAAGAGTCCACCATATTTTATCCACTGTTATCTCAATACAATCATCAAAAATATATATACAAAAAAAGAGTAGTTGACCTGAACGTGTGAAAAAGATTTGGGCTTATATAAATACCATTTATACCATACCCTGTAATGTTATAAACAAACACATGAAGCATTAAGAATGTAAAATGTAGACTCAGTTATTGTATAAAAAAAAAAATTACAAACAGTACATGTAACACTATGGGTAGGAAACGTAAAATAACGGATCATGCATTTCACATTACAAATTGAACTATTTATAATGTTAATTGTACGAAACATAATATACACTATCAATTATCCCATTACAATTTTTACGTCTTACATAACTATAGCACTTGACATATTATAAAAAAAAAGGGCATGCCCCAATACACACGGTACTTGTGACATTAGAAATATTTAATTCCCTGTATTATGAAACTGTTCAAGTAAGGACGTCAATTCATAATTTACCAACCACTTACCAACGTTTCATAAACATTATATATGAAAACTACAATATTCTAAGGCACGTAATAATTTGACAACTTCGCTAACGAAGCAAACGTCGCTGCATAAATTTTACATGAAACTTTATTATTTTTATATGTAAAAGTTGACATAAAAATGAAATATAATGAAACGGTAAAGCATTTAAAAAAATTCATATGACGTGTAAATAGTACAAATTTCGTGGTAATAAGCGTATGGCAAATCTATAATAATGCATTTCCAGGATACATAATAAATATCATATTATGAATAGTGAATGTCTTATTATAAATAATGGGTTTCATATTATTAAAATAGTGAATATTACATTATGATTAGCATCATGAAGAGCAGTAACAAAAAATGATAAATTTTGAACAATGACAAGTGACATTATTAAAGTGGGTGTTACAAATTATTTAAACTTTCTTTATATTTCAGGAAAATGAGAAATCTGACGCAACTGAAACGGTAAGTGAAATCATTTATATAGGTGGCAATATTTTATTTCATCAACCGATTAAAAATGTACTGGAAGTTAAAACAGTACAAGGAGTATTTTGAATAGCGCATTGCCAAGCATACACATTAGATATCATACTATGAATAGTGCATGATTTCTTTAAAAAATCAGTATTATATGTTGTTAAAAATGAATGTAACATTATGAGTTGTATATTTAATAAAGTTATTTAAAATTAGTCTGATGTTGAACAGGACAATTTGCATTACAACAGTGCGTGTCACAATTTTTTAATCTGACCTTCATATTTCAGAAAAAGAAATCTGACTCAACTGAAACGGTAAATGAAACCATTTAATTAAAGGGCATTCATTTTTTTCATCAAAGGATTAAAAGATATATGAATTGTAAATAGAATAATTCATATTGTAATCATCTAATGCCACCTTGCTTATAATGTACTTCCAAGTATACACAAGAGGTATCGCATTTTGAATAGCGCATGTCTTAGTGCATCACAGTTATCACCAATGCCTACTGTTTTATAGATTGAATGGAACTTTATTTTAAAAAAAAAGGATTGTCAGCTCCCTCCCCTCCAAGTCTAGTCGACATGACTGCATTCGCATGCTGATTAGGAGACACTGCCACCGACCCACTGGCGTTACCGTGTTGGCACAGAACCACCATAGTAAAGGACCTTTCGCGTGAAGACAAGTGTCTTGCGGGCTGTTGCGTTAGAAAATGCAAGGCTATATGGTTCCAACGACATAACCGTTTCAAATAACGAAAGACAGAGATCGGGAGCATGATTACTAGCCGCCGTTAATGGATCTGGGGTTTCGTGGGTATAGTGGGCAGAATTAGGAAATTCGTTTGCTTTTTTTTTTGTTTGTAGGAGGCAACAGCACCAACCGACCAGGTGTTTGTTGGATGAGATTGCCCTCGCTTGGCCGGTCAATAGATTGGAGGACGGGTGGGGGCTGTCTCAGTGGCGAAGTGCTTCTGGCGTGGTGCTTCGCGGCCCCATTCTACGCTATTTAGGTTGGAGAAAAAACTGAGGTGGTGCGGTGGAATGCGCTGGTAATTGTAGAACGATATTTGGTTCAAAGCCTGCCCTAATATTACCCTATTCAGTTTGGAAAGAAAAAAAGGTTTGGGGGGGGGGAAGTGGAGGATTACGCTGAGAAGTGTATGATGAACTAGGATTATGCTGGTAATTGTAGAACGATATTTGGTTCAAAGCCTGCCCTAATATTACCCTATTCAGTTTGGAAAGAAAAAAAGGTTTGGGGGGGGGGGGGAAGTGGAGGATTACGCTGAGAAGTGTATGATGAACTAGGATTACGCTGAGAAGTGTATGATGAACTTTGGTAGAACGGCTTTCTGGTTGTTGTTTTTTTAGTAGTTTCAATTTTAAGGATTGTCAAATAGTACACAAAACCATTAAACCGAAATGTATTAATTTAAACAGCCATTAGAGTAGTCAGACAAAGTCACCATATTTTATCATCTTGGTATCTCAATACATTCATCTAAAAAAAAATATATATACAAAAAAAAAGAGTATTTGAACTGTATGGGTGACTAAGAGATGGACTTTTATAAATACCATTATAGTCTTTTTAGTCGTAAGTGACCATAGTAGCATCTGGTGTTAGAGATCAAAGTCCAACATCCTAATGCTGTTCTTTTGATTTAATTTGTTTTTCTTTCTTTATTTATTTATTTCTGTTTAATCTTTGTTGACAGGACAACCAGAAACAAGGTAATGTTATGTGTGTTTTTGAAGATGAAAATAAATAGATAAGCATATTTATTGATAAAAATTGAAATGCTTTTTCAGCATATTTAAAAAAGAAAAAAAAAAAACCCACCCCGTTTTCGATTGGGGTAACCTTTTGCAATCAGTTCATTGTAAACTTAAGACGTTTTTCAAGTTTTTAGTAGGTAAAACGAAAACAACTATCCTAATGTATCGTCACTCCTCACTTTTCAATATTGCCGATATTGCTTTAAGATTTGTAAAGGCAAATGTTCCTTTCTGTGATTAATTATGAACAGTAAATATGAAAGTGTCTTTTTTTTTAATTTAAAGAACAAAAAGTTCATAATAGATTGTGCAATAATCACATTAGGTTATACAGTCTGACTCGAATTAATAAATTTTTTGTGGGGTATAGGATTAGATACTTTTCAGTGTGTAATCGTAATGGGCGCTGATGTCGAATGCAAGGATTTCATTAACCAGAAAATTCAAGAGTCAATCCCAGTACTTTTTATTGAGGTGAGTTCATTATTCAAATGATTTGTTTCGATTATGTAGCGAAAATCCTTTAGACGTAGCATGATATTTTTCATTGAAAAACTTAAAAAGAACAACAAAATACAATTTAAAAAAATAAATAAATAAATTCTCTTTTTACAAAAGAAAATCGTTTACAAACAATATTTCAGGAATCTGATGGACGAACAACAACCTCTTTCCAAACACAATTTATGGATGATAGAAATAAACAAAAGTAAGGATTGATTACCCTTTTAAATATGATTTTTTAAATATTTTTCTGTATAAAAAACATGCAAGAGAAATGGGCTGCAGTTTGAGTTCTCATGCAGACACAAAGTCTAATGCTCCAATTATCAAATCCATTAAATCTAAAGATATTTAGGGTTATGTCTTTGTTAAAATATCGCCCAACTCACCACATTGTAAAGTAAGAGTTAGAATACATGTATTAAATCTCCCCTTCAAAAAAAGTAATAAGAAATATTCATGAAAACGGACTTAGTTAATTTTGAAAAATTAAATACAGGAGGGGGGAGGGTAATTAAAAAGAAAGGGGGTATTTTCAATCACTCTTTAATTTCAATTGTTCAAAATAATCTTTATTGTAAAACTAAGAGGGGAAAAAAAAATATTTTTTAAAGTTTTGTATTAAAGATTAAAAATATGTATGTACTAGAAAACAAACCAAAGCTTCCGCAGTGCTTTTTGAACGTTGTTCACAGTTGCATACACGTAGATTCAAGCATAATTTGATTAGTTATAAAAAAAAGATGTGCTAAAAGTATTTTTATTTTGTTACTTACCTAGATCAGAATTTGTGCACTCCATGAGCCCGGCTTACAAGTCACAAGACATTGCGAAAGCCATTTTGAAAGCCATCGTTAAAGGTACACACAATTAGTTTGTACACTTCTTAAACTTTTTAGAGTAAATGAAAACCGTTTTTTGAGTTTCTTTTCTCACTCTCTCACAAGCTGGTTTTATTTCAGGTTCTCTTCTTTCTCCCTCTCTCTATCTCTCTCTCTCTCTCTCTCTCTCACACAAACTGACTACATCTCAGTTTCCTCTCTCCCTCTCTCACAAGCTGACTACACATTTAAATAAAAAAATAAAAAATAATATTTAAGACAGGTGGTTGTTAAATAACAATATTATTTTCAAACCGTTTAAATATAGTTCTTTGATCTGAATATTTACAGTGCAAAAACGGAACAGTTTTGCTTTTGTTTTTATCTTGAACTTAGTTTACACCGAAAATGGACAGTGTAATATTCGTGTTATTTTGGGTTTCTAGGTACACTTCTAAGTTTCCTGCAGTTATAATAATAACAATAAATAATCCCATTTGCTGAATTTGTGTAAATTTAGAAACGTATAAACTGAATTAGGAAAGTGTGAAACAAAGATTTTATTTTTAATGGTGAATAGTGTTTAAAATTATTATTAAATTCTTAGAATGTTGTCTGAACGGTTTAAAAAAAAAAAAGAAAAGCTCAAAATGTTAAGAATTTTCCATTGTCGAATTGGATTCTCACAAATAAGTTGTAATTTGAAGATTTTTTTCTCTAAATCAAAGCATTTTTGTAAAATACCTATTAAAGACATGTTATGAGAATAATTATTTAACTGATCTTGTGTAGATAATCGTGCAACTAATTACGCGTAGGTGTTCAGTAAACTCATCTTCAGTTGATGTTTATAGAATGCATGCAGTGCACATATAAAACTTATAATTTAGATGTTCATGAAGCTCATGCTGTAAAGATCTTCATTGAATAGTAACTCAAGGACATCATATGTCAATTGAAGACATCTTGAAAAATAACATTTTTGTAGATTAAGATCATTAAAGGACATTGCTTTGTTAATTCACTTCAGTAATTTTTGTATGGATTCTTAATTTGAAAGAAAATAAAAGTCATAATATTCATTATTAAAATTAACGGTTTAGAAATGCATATGTTAAGTATATATATATATGTTTATTTATATATATATATATATATACATATATATTTATAGCTATTAACAAAAAGATGAAGAACACAGATACTAATGAAAGTGGGGGCATGTCAATAGTACAGGATCAAGATGAAAAAGACAGATTCATTTCGTTATGTCTGAGCATGGATCACTTTCCTATCGCAGTAAAAGCTAAATTGCTTAGCAAGGCTATTGCAGCTCAGAATGTAAGTAATCATAATAAAGTGTTGTCTTTTCTCACAAACTTTACGCCGATTTACGCCGAAATGATTCTAAACGTATCATATTTTAAGAAAGGGAAGTTGCGAAGTTGTTTGTAATTATTTGATGAGATGTCCGTTAGCGTGACATATATTATTGAAAGATGTGTTCATGAGACTTTGTAGGATTTAGAAATTGATTTCGGGACATCCCAAATGCCTGGCTGTGGAGATCTGAATGGTTCGAAGAAAGTGTTTGGGATGTGAAAAGGTTAAATGAGATGACGCTTGTAGTTTTTTTTTTCCCGTCGGACATTACCCGACACACAACCGATACACCCGTATTCACCCGTATGAGTGCCTTAAGGTTCGGCCTTGCGCTAGAAGGACGGCACTGCTACTGAACCCCCCATTTCAGACATGTTTCTGCTCTTACAAAACGAATATATCCCTCCATGTCCGATCCTCCCCCCCCCCCGACTGCTCTCAATGTTCTTATGTTGCAACTAGACGACGACCCCCCCCCCCCCACACACACACTTGAGATTAACTACGAGCGTAGATGTCGTCTCTGTTGGTTGAGACATTAATTGCATCTTTGATGTGCACCATCTCCATCTGAAGACTCTGGATTAAACTAGCGATGCATTCTTCAATAATGATAGGGATTTCGTTCTAATAAATCTTAATTTTTAAAAGGTCATATCTCTTAGGATCGTAAAGCGATCCGATAACGATCGCTATTTATAATGACTAATTGTAATTTTGGTTTTGTTTTATATATAAAAAACACAACTAACCAGTTTTCTCTTAACTTGCATCTACAGGATCGTGGCGAAAAGATTATTGGCAAATTGAGCTTGTTAATAATGGAAAAAATTAAAG